TTCCTTACTTAGAATTTCTGGTTCGCAGACTTCATTTGGAAAAGTCGAAAATTTCCTCGATTTGGGATTCAAGATAAACCGGTGACTTGGGACACCAAAAGCCAAACCTTTCCCAAGTGGCGACTCTGAATTAAATAAATAATCCCATTTCGAATATTGTCACTTAAATTGGAAAAACTTCACCCGCGCATTTAACCCTTCGGGGCGGGCGCGCAAAAAGGAGGTGTGACACTCTTGTCAGCCATTGGACATATAAAAATAATTTCAATATAAATACTTTAGAAGCATGATCGCACATGAAAAATAAAATAATAAATAAAAATTGTATTACTACCTGAGCATTTAATAAGTGAACCTATTAGATAATTATACATCAATTGTAGTTTTTGTAAATTCTTCCGATTCGATACAGTAAATACAAAAGTATATGAATTCGACAAATTATGTACTCCCTCCCTTCGTTTCAAATTAGATGAGGTACTTTCTTTTTTAGTATGTTCCAAAACAAATGACACATTTTTAAATTTGAAAATAATTCAATTTTAAAATCTTCGTTTTATCCATTTTACCTTTAATGAGAAGCTTTTATAACCACACAAATGTCATGACCCCATAAAGCTTTTATCCCTTAAGTTTTTAAGATCACAAGTTTCAAAAGTCTTTTTTCTTCTTCTTGAACTCCGTTCCGAATCAAACTATATCATCTAAATTAAAACGAAGGGAATATTAATTATAGTAGAGCCTTCCGGGAAAAAGTAAATAATCTGTATTTACTAATTGAAAGGTGTATGCTATTTTTGGATGGCTTTAAGCCCACCTGAACCAACATGGTTAAAATGGTCATGGGGATTGAGAGCTCATTCCATCATGAATCATCATTGGTATACTTAGTTATCCTGAAGCACAAACATTTCGAAATAATTATAATGAAATAACTATTTGTAAAATTGTATTAAGTGCATGCCATAGTTTGGAAAAGAAAAAGAAATACCTCGCGTGTCTTAGCAACCATAGGACATATGTTTTGGAATACCTCTTTATAAACAATATTTTTAATAAATGTAGGATCTTTTGCATCCTCTTCAGCATTTAGTATGGTTAATCTTCTCTTGTTGTCACTCGGGAGACAACCACATATAATTGACCATGGGTGAATACTTGTTTCGGAAGATACAATCCGACATGGCTAAGAGATTGTCCTTGAATTTTATTGATTCTCATGGCGAAACATGGCGCCAAAGGGAGCTGCCTTCTCTTAAGCTTAAACGGCCACTTTGAATCGTTAGGAGACATAATGATTCTTGGAATTGTGATCCTCGAACCGATGTTCTTTCTAGACATGATGTTTGTGCTGACAAACCAATTTTCAAGATGCACGAAAATTAATCTTGTTCCATTGCATAGTCTTTCGGTTTGGTTTAGATTTTTGAGAAGCATAACTGGGTACCTACTTTTTAAGTGTATGTCATGATTAGGGATGTCGGGGAATATTAAGCTATTTAGAAATTCGGTTGTGTACAAGAACTCTTCATCATTAGTGTTCATGCTCGCTTTGCATACATTGTCGGAGCTAAAATATGTTCTTCCTTCGCTTGGTATCATTTTCAGAATTCTATCGCTCAACTCATGTACCATATCATTTTTTGGCGAGTATTATTTTTTCTTTCAGATATACTGGGTGATTATGATTTTTTAGGAGATGTAAATTGCTTCAACAATCGATCCGATTGGGTCGTTAGATTTT